TGTATAATAGAATGTTTTTATGAAAGTTTATTCTAAGTTTGGCTACACTATATGTATATAAAATACCTAAAATTGAATCCTTGATTGGGCAAATGTAGAGTCTTTGAAGTTACATAAACTATTTAGTAATGCCTTAGCATTCATCATTGCTTGTTTTAAACATGAAGAGCTTTAATTTATGTTATTTTTAGTTCCTGTGACCTATTGGATCTCCTTAAGAGCACTATGTTAAATAGTGCCTTCCTAATGCTAGGAATAATAGTTATGGAATTAAGGAAATGTGAAATATTTTATTTTTACCCCCAGAAGAATATTTTCCTGTTACATTTTAAAATAATTCTTTCTTTCTTTAACCATTAATGTTTCCTTTTAAAAATTGAAGAAAATATTTTATATTAATGTTTTACTTGATATGTAGTATTTTATTTGGTGCCAATATATGAAGTTTTTAAAAAAGAGACAGTCAACCCTGGAGTTACACAGAATAAAACGAGAAAAAAATTTTAGCAAACAAAATTGCATCTTATAAGGGAGCAATAAGGCATCTAACTCATGAATAAATTAAGGTGAACACTATTCTTATGTTCTTATATTCTCATGCGTATATTGTGAAAACCTTTCTGGAAGGCGTTTTGGCAATAAATATAAAGCCAACTAATGTACATATACTTTGACCCAGTGATTCCACCTCTAGGATTTTATTCAAAATAAATAAATATGCCACAACATTTATTTCAAAGCTGCTCATAAAAATTGGAAACAATCTAAAGAGCCATCAGTAATAATCTTAGAATATCCATAATTGTATAGCCATAAAGTAACATGCCATTCAAATTTTAATTAACATGAAAGATACTCAAGTGAAAAGACCAGGTTATAGAAGAATAGGTGTGACCTGGACATTTTTATGTGAATAGAAAAAATGATATGGAAAAGATGTTTATTATTAACATGGCTGAGTTCAGGAGAGTAGAGAATAGCTTGGGGTAGGAGCAGGTATGTGAGTCTTCTAAAAATATTTATTAAAAAATTTTTGTTGTCACATTAAACTAAATTCCTAACATTCTAATATAAGGAAAAAGTTGATCATTCAAAAAGCTTTATGAAATTATTTTAAAAGTAGTTCATTTTTTAATGTAATTTTTAATCACTCTAAGCATAATAAAATATCCCCAAAATATTAATGATTATGTTCCTGTTATCTAAAGCCTTTGCTGCCATCTTTTGGAAGTAGGTTACTAATGCAGCTGTGGATTTCTTTCACCTTCTGGAAAAGCCTTCCCAAATTAGAAAAACAAGGAAAAATTACATTCTCACAGGAGTGCGACGCTAAAGCAAAATTAGATTTTCTCCATAGTGTTGAAGAATTTGTTTTATTCACATTACCTACAGCTGGATTCTGGCCTCTCTTTTTTGAAAATCCTTAAAGGGGTTTTCCTTTACAAAGAAACTCCAACTGAGCAATGCCTGGACTTTCCTCAACTCTGCGTTTTAATTCCACAAAAACTCATAAAATTTTTGTGCAAAACAGTAATAGTTTGTCTTTTCTATCCCCAGACTGGACTCGTCTTAAGGGGAAGGTGAACAAAGCAGGAAGGGGCTGAGCAATTCCAAAAAGGTAGGTGAAAGAGGGAGTTACACTTGGAAGAAATGACATGTAAAACTATTTTATGCAGTGTGGGCTAATCAATTAGGAAAGAAAGAACACACTAGCTCAACTTCCTAAATAAGAATAATGTCACTGTGTATATGAAAACATTATTAAAATTGAAGATTTCTTAAAACTTCAGGAACATCATAAAGTCAATATAACAAATGAGTCTTGTCTGACATTTCATAGACGAAAATAACTACCTGATTATCAAGTTGAATAATGTTTTTTCAAACCTACCTGAGTCTCAAGATGTTACATTAGACATGCTGGTATAATAGACTAACAATGGCGGGTTTCCTTCACTCATCAGAAGCTGATAAACACTTTTAATCAGTGTAGTTGGTTATCACTGGCTTCCTCAAGATTCTGACACTTCCCTTCCAGAAGTTTTCACCCCGCAAGTTGGCACCGATATTGAGAAACACACTTGCACCTTGGGTGCTTACTCTCATTCTCTTCTCACATGAGCATTCAGTGTTTAATGTATATATAATCTTTATCAGTTGACATCTATGAGGATTTGCTTTTTGTAGTGCACTTCTCAAAATGCTAGACAGGTGCTTTATTTATTCTCCCAGGGCTGGCTGTGAGTACAAGATCCTTTGTCTCTCTCAAACTTGTGCTGCCAATCACAGGACAATAAATAATTTGCCTGCTGAGGGGAGGGCAGGGAACTTTTGAAGAAGAGTCACTCCTCAGTTGCTTCTAGATTGGAAATAGATCTTCTCCCTCCCCTTGTGACCCAAAAGGCATCACACTATCACTTTGTTCAAATGCTTAAATCTTCAATGAGATAGACTCCATATTCACAGACCATTTCCTCTGCTTAAAATATACTTCTGATCCCTCCTATTTCCTAAACTCATTAATCAACTCACACTCAGTTTCTCTCTGAAAACTTTGTAGTGCCTCCAGGAAGAAATCTTTGCTCTCTCTTGAGACCTGTCTTTGTACTTCACAGAGAAATTAGCACAAAGTATAATCACCATGTGCTTACCCAACCTTCCAGCTGTCTCTGGTCTATAAGATCCCTAGGCAGAGACCTACTCTGGTTTACATTTGAACTCCCCAAATATGACCTAGAATGTTATTGATGTGGGTGTACTGAATGAATGAATGAATGAGCGAAGACAAGGTTGAGAAATGAAAAGGGCATAAACTCAAAAAATATTTGCTAAGCAAATATGTCTGAGATCAAGTATATATTTGAAAAAATAAAATAAAGAGAAAATGTTACATAAGCTACTGAAATTTTGTGTGTTGTAGTGTTTTTATTTTTTTAATTGAGTATATGTGGCCTTTTGGAATGTTTCAAGAATTATTTTTCAGTTTAAAATGCTATTTGTTTATTCATGAGTTCATGCAACAATTATGCATTTATTGCAAACTATGTGTTAGATAAAATCATAGTATTAATTCAGGTATTATATAATGTTATTATTAACATATTATACTGAAGCTACCTAAAAATATTGATAATGTGCATAACATTCTACTGTTTAAGGTAACAGTAGAAAAATACTGTGCTTTAGGTTTTGTGTAGAAATCAAGTTGAGTTCAGGTTAACTTCCTTTGTTTACTGTAGCTTTGTAAGGCATAGCTTAATATCGTTTATTAATTATTTTGTACCAAGTTGAAAATAAAAATCTAGTGGGTTCTATGGAAAAGATAGGATCTTAAAGCCTTTTTCATTAATATTTTTTGTGAATTTTATTTTCTTAAATCATACCTAAATGAAAACTACATATTAGCCAGGTGGATAAAAAATGAACAGAGTTTTTTGAATGAATATAAATATTCAACATGAACAAATTAGGACTCCGCATAATAGGATGCTGGGGATTCTGTCCTCTCACTGTGGGTACAGTTACCATGATGGAATCATATTTGTTTATTAATAACATACAGGAATTAGAAAGTTAACAGTAACTGGTAGAAATGGGAAATATTTGTCTTATGCAATGACTCACTCAAAAATGTTTGAAAACATCAAAATTAGGCAAATGTTGATCAAACTGAGTTTCCAAACAAGTTGAATATGAATCGAATACAATTTTGAAAAAATTGAATTGTCAATGTTGTAAATGTTGCTAAAAGTAAAATGTTGTAAAATGTTGCAAATGTTGTTGTTAATGTTTGTTTGGTTGTTTTGAAAAAATTGAATTGTAAATGTTGTAAATGTTGCTAAAAGCATAATTTTTAACTAAATTTCATATTTCTTGTTATGCACAGTTTTCAATATGTTAATTTATTATATCTATATATCTCAATGGGATTTGTTTATAAATAATTGTTGAATGAGTGAAGAATTAATAAATTTTAGAGATATGGGGAAAAAATACCAGGAACAACTTTAATTACTAGTCAATGCATTCATTTGGACAATTTAGCTAGGAGTAAATATCTTTTAAATTAAAAATAGTATAAATCCATGTTATTTTGAAGTCTTTAAAGAAGTGTTTTTGTCTTTTGTTTATTTAAGGATTCCCTATGCTAATTAAGTGATGTTGATTTGGGTTACTTCAGCAGCATGTGGTCCTCCGGTCTGAGACCATTTTGTTTATTGACTGGTTTGATTTTAACCAGATTATCCACTTCGTATACAAAGGGGGAAACTTTACAGTAAAGAAACACTTGGAATGGGGTTTTCAGCTGTGTCAACAAGGGATGACTTCTGTCCAGGTCAGGTTGCATAAAAAGTGTATCTAATATTGACTGAATGTAATCCCAGGCATTCTTGCAGGTATCCCACCTGCATTATTTCATTCAGTGCTCACAGCAACCCTCTAAGGTGGCTATTTATTATTATTATTTTTTTTTTTTCCGGAAGAGGAAACTGGAGCATCATTTGCCTGACATCACACGGGTATAGGGAAGTACCAGAATTCAATGGAGCAGTTCCTCTCCTTAGCCTGCAAATGTCACTATGTAGCTAGCTATTCTGTCCCATCTATCAGTACGCTATTCTGTCAGTCCTCTATTCCGATTCGTAGAACTTCATAGCCTAACTCTGGCAAAACGGTAAATGTGCTTTGGCTCAAGCAGCAGGTGGAGGTAGGGACTCTCACTCCACTAGAAAGCTCAAGGCTCTTGGTTCCGGGTGGGAGCGGGAGGGTCCTGTCTCCTAGGCAACAGCTGTAGCACCGTAGACGATAATGCACCCCTTTCCCGGGACCCAAAGGGGTGATGTCATTTCCTTCGTCTGGGCGATTGCCTCAGGGACGCGTCAGGCGGAAGAGCGGTGTTGGGTACCCGGGAGACCTGGCGGTAGGGAAGTCACTTCCTTCCGGAGACGCGGTTTCCTAGCAACCGTCTCCCATCTCCGCTTTTAGTCCCTCCCCTTTGCTCAGCTCAGTGCCAGTCTCCCAGAGCCGGCAGGCCCAGGTCCCTGCGAGAGACTCCTGCCGGAGGCCAGGGGCTCAGTCCTTAGGGTAGCGGGAGCCCATCGAGGATCGGCTGAGGTGGGTACAGAACACGGGTCTTGGGGGGTCTCGGAGGAACGGGACGTGGACAGCGCTCGGTTTGCACGGGCCTGGAGAGTGCTGGGAGCGGGCGGGCAGGCGGCGCGGTGCTGTGCGGAGCCGGCTGGGACCCGAGGGCCACCCGGCCGGGCGGGAGCGGGCCCCGGGCGCGCGCTGCGGCGGACGGCGAGGTGGCTGAGGCCCAGGCCTCGACTCCGAGCACGAGAAAAGTTCACGGGCCCATTCGTGCAGCGATTTTAATGCTGCCTATCATGGAAGCTTCGTTTTGTTTTATCTAGCCCCATGAGCACTGTTGTGAGAGGGAAGAGCGACTGGAGAAAAAAAAAACAAAAACGTCGCTATTGCAGTTTAGCATTATTGATTTTTGTCTTTCACTAGAGCTGTACGCAAGCTTTTGTTTGTTTATTTGTTTTGGTTGTCCTTCTAGTTGTATCTTTTATGCTGCCGATCTCCTTAGTAGTCTTTTTCAAATAAGGTATGGCTGTTTCATGGGCAATGTTATATTTCTTGAATGGAAGAGACGGGAAAAATAAGGTGTTGCATTTTAATTGGCAACATTTTATCATACTAAGCTGTTGCAGTCGTTTATTTGCTCATCCTTAAAATAATTGCAAAACTATTTTAGGATAACTTCAATTTGACTTTTCTTTTTTTGATAATAAACTCGTGAAAATTTTATATTTCTTTAGAAGAACTCTACATATTTAAGTGAATATGTAGTACAATGTTCATGAGATGCTTTTCTTAATTGTTCGCTCATTTATTTATTTATTTGACAGAGAGAGAGATAGCGAGAGCAGGAACACAAACAGGGGGAGTGGGAGAGGGAGAAGCAGGCTTCCTGCCGAGCAGGGAGCCAGATGTGGGACTCGATCCCAGGACCCTGGGATCATGACCTGAGCCGAAGGCAGACGCTTAACGACTGAGCCACCCAGGCGCCCTCGCTCTTTTTTTTTTTTTTAGCACTAAAGGGTAGTAATAGAAATTCTCAAGTTTGCAAACAAGTCTGATTTGTTTTTTGTATATTTCAGACACCATCAGAGTTTGAATTATTCCAATTATTTATTAGCTGTTTTATAAAGGTAAAGAGTAAAAAACAAAAAAAACACTATGTCTGATGAAGTTTTTAGCACAACTTTGGCTTATACAAAGAGTCCAAAAGTCACCAAAAGGACTACTTTCCAGGTAAAGTATTTCAAAAGATTTTTTTTATTTTGAGTGATTTTAAAAGTAAACACTGTATTAGCAATGTTGGACTTGAAATGATTCTAGAAAGGGCCCTGTATAATGCAGGAGTATATCTTACATTCCTGTGGAGGTTTTGCAGTTGATCATGTTTAGCCTCCGGTATTACCAACTCTTCTGTGTGGCTTTCAGACTACTTAACTAGCTTCACTACTAAGTTATTACTAAGTTAAAAGTTTAACTCAACTTTTAAAAGTTAAGTTATATAGCAACTTCAAATTTGCATATTTTTTTTTTCTGTTATAATAACATTTCAGTTTTCTCTATCCAGTCACCACCATTTGAACTCAGCCTCTAAGTTTGCAGTATTAATTATATTTATTACTGCAATGTGCTAAAACAAAAGATCTTAAAAAGTACCAGTTTCTTCCGAAATGCCAGTTTGTAATAAATCCTGTCTAAATTGAGTCCTGTCTTGTTTATTATTCTCCCCCCCCTAATTACACCCTGTAATTTATTTATTTGATATTGCCTGTCTCTTCCAATTGAACTGTAAGCTCCATAAGGAGGAGGAACTTGTCTGTGATGTTACATATTGAGTCTGAGGGCTTGGGTGCATGGCATAAGGTGGGCTTTCATTGAATAGTCATTATATGAATGAAACCTGAGTTTGAAAGCAGTTATTAACCAAAACTTGTTTGTTTAAAGAATTAATTCTAAATATGAGAACTCTGTGTTTGGGTGGATATTGATTTTAATTATCTCGTTTCAGGATGAGCTAATAAAAGCAATTACAGCTCGCTCAGCCAGGCAAAGGAGTTCCGAATACTCAGATGACTTTGACAGTGATGACGTTGGTATGTGTGAATATGGAAAAGTAAACCACTTTTCCTCTTTTTGCTTCCTTAGTTATGTTTAGCTCATCCCTTCAAAATAAAATAATAGCTGTATATACACGTTAAAATAATAGCTGTATATACACTGGTTTTAAATTTCCAACTTTTTAAAGAGTAAAAAGCCACTTGTAATCTTCAAGAAGAAGTTGTATGATTGTCTTTGTTTCTGAACGGTGTATACTGAAAATATAAATTAACCGATAGCAGGTTTGAAATAAAAGGCTGCCTGTCTGTTGTAAACCATGTTGGACACACCAGTGTCAACCCTGTGAGACCCTATAGCGAATTAAAAACTAGAGCCCAGAGAACTAAACTTTGGTGCATGTCAGAATCACTTTTGTAATGCTTTTTGTAAATCAGATGTTTTTGGCTGTAATAGGGGCTCAGTTTTAAAAACCTAGTATATCAGTGCTGGTATGACTTAATTTGGTCTCTTTTGATTATGTAAAAATATTAACATTTTAGGTTTCAGGTGTAAGCACACACAATTCTAAACTTGAAATTCAGTGCTTTGTATGTTAGTATTCAGTGAATGATTTTTAATGTTCTCTGAAAATAATCAGAACAGTAGTTGTAGCATTGCTATATAGTTAAGTTGGCATTCTTTAATACTCTTCTCACAGTAAAACGTAATACTCTAGTATGGATGAAATTGTAGTACCAAAATTTTTATGGAAAATAATATAATTAGCTAATAACTAGTAAAATTCTTCTACTTACCATTGTTTTTGATTTTATATAGTGAAGTCGTTTGCAAATAAAAGCGCTACAGTCCAAAACCTAATTTAAATATCCTATGCCATTGTTATTTTGAGGAACCTTTGAATGACTTCTCAGGGTAAGCGGAGGGTTTGACACACAATTCACATTCAATAAGTAAGTTTTGAATAAATTAATGAAATTGAAATTTTTATTTCATAAATAGCAATAAAAACTGCCTAAGTTAGCTGTGTTTTAGAGCTGCAGATACTTGCATCCTTTCATGGTTGTAAATTCATTTCTAGTCTTTAGGGTAATCTTTTTGATTTCTGTAACCTTCACAACTTTAAAAGAGACTATTGAAAACATTTTTTCTCTTCCATTTTTCAGTTTCCTTAGGTGATTTTTCTGACACCTCAGTAGATGAAAATTCAGAGAAGAAAAAAATGAATGATTTCCATTTATCAGATGATGAAGAAAAGAATTCTCCAAAACTGTCTTTTTTGAAAACCAAGAAATCAAACAGTGACATAATGAAAGATGAGCCAGTATTCTCCACCAAAAATGATGAGGAAATGGCACCTGATGGTTGTGGAGACATGGTTGGAACTCCCTTATCTGAATCTCAAAATAAAGACCAGGAAATTGAAAAAGACAAAATGAAAATGAAACCTAAACCCAGAATTCTTCCAGTCAAAAGCACATCTACAGGTAATTCACGTTACTGTAATTGCATTTCTTGAAAACTTATTTATTATTTTTAAATTTTTTTAAAGATTTTAGTTATTTATTTGAGAGAGGGAGAGAGAATGAGAGAGAGAGCACAAGTGGTGGGAGGGACAGAGGCAGAAGGAGAAGCAGACACCCCTCCCCGAGCAAGGAGCCCAATGTGGGATTCAATCCCAGGGTCCTGGGTTCATGACCGGAGCCGAAGGCAGATGCTTAACCCACTGAGCCACCCAGGTGCCCCTTGAAAACTTATTTTAAGATAATCAAAAAATATCTTTATATGGTAGCTAGTAAATATTTAAGAAATAGACTTAACTTTTTAGTTTTAAAGTTATAAATCAAAATAATGGAACCATAGAGAAAACTCGTAATTCTGAGGTCCAGTTACATGTCAGTCTTGCATCTATGCTGGTGCCTGATAGAAGGCCAGAATACCTTGTCATCCACAGCTATGGCTCCCAAAGCTTCTGGGTCCAGGCTTGCGAGGCCTTTGGGCTTCAGTTTTGTTTTTAGGGATGAGACTGCAATGCAGTCCTTTCTGATCCATCTTACACTCCAGAAATCAGTTACAGCAGGAAGGAACTAGTCCTTCAAACAATCATTTCCATGTCATCATTTACCAGAAAATTTTTTTTGACATTTGAGTATGTGAAGGGAGAAAGTTTTGTTTTTTGACATTTGAATATGTGAAGGGAGAGAGTTTTGTTGTTGGTGTTGTTATTTAAGCCTCCAACTTTCCTTCAGAAAAGAGAATCTCCATTTAGTTTCTCTGTTCCCTGGGAAAGTCCACTAAAACTCAGTTTTCTGAAGGGGAGTTCCTGATGTGATTGGGAGTACAGTAGTTTCTCCACAATTCTATTGAGCTGTAGGCACAATGAAGCAAAGATGGAGTGAAGCAGGAACCAGCCTCTCTGAGGTCCCCTGAGCCACCACACAGAAACAGGGGCATAGAAGTTTAAGGGTTTGATGCCTTCTAGTCATTTTTTCCTGTTTTGTAGAAAAAATATTAGTCGATACTAACCTTCATAAAAATTTCTTTTCTTTATATCATCATTAAATACTCTACTGGTAAATATTCATACTTCACATATTAGATATCACTGGTAACATCAGACAGAACTTTATTTCAGACATATATTAGGGAACCACTCCTTCCCCCACAATCTCACTAACTTTCAAATATGAACAGAGCAGGGACTATTAGGAGAAAAGCCACCATATGTTAATTATACGTGACCTTGGTGAATAGAGTAGGCCTTATTGTCCTCGTGAGGAGGAGGATAAAACCTGCTCTTCTTGTTCTACAGAATTGTTTTGAGAATCTATTGAAGTGTATCTCAGGAACTATACAATTCTACCAAAAATATAAGCACAAGGCATAATGAAACAGAATTAAATTGCTGAAATGTACCTTCCCAGTGTACTAAATAGTACCAAAAATAGAGAGAAAGGGAACATAATGGAACTTGGTGAATAATCTAGTAGTTCACCATTTCCCAAAGTACCTTCTACAGTTTGTGCATTGGTATTATTGGAAAAACACAGAACTATAGAAATTTTAAAGTAATTTCTTTGTGAGAGAACTTCTTGGAGACATTAATAAAGAAATATTAACAGGGAATTTTTAAGAAGGATAGAACAGTGTTTCCTAGTCCTAGTGACTTCAGAAATCTATTTTTGTGGATTATATTTATCCTATTTGTCTTGATTCTAAAAAGCTTTTCATTAGGTAAATAAGAAAGTGTAAGCATACAGAACCTAAAAGTTGGTCTGATATAGGTAGAAGTATATAATTAGAACTTTATGGTAGATAATCATCAATAATCCACCTATTTAATACCTTTTTTAAAAAAAAACCTGTGACAAATTAAAATGAATAGAGAAATGCTGTCTCTAAACCACAAGATGGCACCAGGATTCTAAATACTAAACCTGTGACAAATTAAAATGAATAGAGAAATGCTGTCTCTAAACCACAAGATGGCACCAGGATTCTAAATACTATACACAAATGTGCAATGCTTATTTTTAAAATCATTAGCCATTGGCAATTTACTATACGTTATATAAAAATAATTACCAAAAACAGGTAATCATTTACACTTAATTATAAAAGAAAGCATTTTGAAAATGTATAGATGTATTTTTTCTTTCTGAAAACTTGACAATACTTCTGGGAGTGGAATTTTGGTATAAAATATATTAAAGTCATTATTCCTAGGCTCTTCAGATTGAAGAAAAAAAATTGAGATTAGTGGTTAGTGCCTGGCATATACAATACATTTCAATAAGTATTTTAATGTATAAATGAATAAGTGAGTGATTCATTCATGAAAGAAAGAGTGTGGTTCACAAGCTAAGTTTTATCCTTTTCTAAATTTTTAGACTTTTTCTTACAAAGTTTGGAACTTAATGTTTTTAATGTGGTAACACATTGCAGAGTAGCAATTAATGCTTTATAAAAATATTGGAACCTGAAAGTTTCCTTTGTTCTTGCTTGTCTTTTGTTAAAAGTGCAATAACTAGACTCTTTCACTTTATTGAGTAACTGTCACATGGGGAGTGATTGCAGAAAGTAATTTTTACAGGGTATATTGCTTTTATTTTAACATTAAAATGACTAAAGTCATGAACTTTGGATCCAGGGTGCTCTTGCTTTAATCCCACAAACTAGAGTTTATGACCATGAGCACACAACCTCTTTGTTCCTCATTTTATTTGTCTGTAAGGTGGGCATAATAGTCGAACCTGCACTAGTGGTTTGAGACAATTAAATAAGTTTATATATTTGAAGTGTTTAGAACAATCTGGCGTAAATTAAGCACTTTTCTAAATGCTATTATTATTTCGCATTTGTTCATAAGCAGATCATTTTATTTTTCTGTACATATTTATTATGAATACAGTTTCTTTCACTATGTTACAAGCACTGTGATGATAACTAAGAATATGACATTAAAAAGGCATGGTACCAAAAAAAAAAAAAAAAAAAAGATATAATACCAATCCTCCAAGACTGTCTTAATCCATTTGGGCCACTGTATCAAAGTACCATAGACTAGATGGGTTTTTAAACAGCAGAAACCTATTTCTCACAGTTCTAGAAGCTAGAAGTCTGAGATCATAGTGCCAGCATAGTCAGGTGAGAGCCCTCTTCCAGGTCTCGGACTTCACATTGTATCTTTGGTGGTGGAAGGGGCAAGGGAGCTCTCTGGAGGCTCTTTTATAATCCCCTTCTTGAAGGTTCCACCCTCATGACCTGATCACCTCCCTCCCGCCTGATACCATCGCCTTTGTGGTTAGGATTTCAGCCTAAGAATTGGGCAATACACAAACATTCAGACCATAGCAAAGACTTTGCAGTTTAATGTGAAGGTATATAAAAGGTGTAGTAAGAACACAGGAAAGTAGGCAACTAAATTTACCTGAGGGCATCAGGGAAGGCTTTCGGGAGGAAATGGCAAAATAGTTGTAACTGACAAATAATGGTACCCCTAGTTAGGAGTCTTGGTTGTAAATGACTCAACTCAAACTTCAGTGGAAAGAAGAATTTATCACCTTATTGAGCACGGATGTGAGAAGACCTCTCTTTAGGTGTTATTAAGTTGGAAACAGTACTTTCATGTCATTTGGATTCTCTACTTTTGTCTTACCTCCCTGATTCCCAGGCCTTCTCACTGTCTCCTCCCACCCCTGTCACTGGCCCAGTTACTCCATCCCTTGGTCCTATATTTTTGGTCTCCTATATTTTGGACCTATATTGGTCTGTTTGTCTCAGACATCCCTTCACTTGGCAGGAGTAGTCCCCAAATGATATCCTTCCAGCTTCATGACCTTAAAGGCATATCCTCCAACTCTAAATAGAAAAATACTGACCTGACCTCCTGCTGTGGACAGGGGAGAAGTTTCTGTGATAAGCTGGGAGGCTGGTATGCATTGGGGGCCCACCCTTCTCATTGAGGTATGGAGGAAATCTTTGTTCACCCACTAGAATTATAAAGATGGAGAAGAGGAGAAACTACCCTGAAGAAACAGGAGTGATAAACCAAAAAAACAAAACAAAAAACAAAAGAACACAAAGAAAAGAAAGAAAAAGAAAAGTTTATCACAGTTATTAATGTTCACTGAGCACTTACCATGAGTCAGGTACTGTGCTATGCACTTTATTTTTCACCCAGGTCCCACAGGTGCCTTAGGAATTCTTAACTCATTTTACCAAATGGGAAGATGAGCCTGTGGAGGGTTATATGGTTGTGTAAGGTTACAATGTTAGTAAGTGTCAGAGCCAAGATTCAGATATGAAATACCTGAAATAGGCACACTCATACAGACGGAAGGTAGAATGGTGGTTTCCGGGGGCTGTGGGGAGAGGAAGAGGGGAGCTGCTCTTCAATAGATGTAAAGTTTCACTTAACGCAAGGTGAATGTATTCCAGAGATCTGCTGTACAACACCGATCCTTTAGTTAACAATACTGTATTGTGCGCTTAAAATTTGTTAAGCGGGTAGATCTGTGGTTAAGTGTTCTTACCACAATTAACAAAAACTGACTCAACACCTTCTTTCAGGCATTATACAATATTCTGCTTACACTGAGGCTCAAATGACATGCAAGCATTTGTCAGGAGAAGAGGCAGGAAGCAGACATTCTAGGCGGAGGGATCGGCTTGGGTAAAAGTATGGTACCAAGAGGGATTGCGGCGCAGCCGCGAGACAGCAGGGAGCCCGGCACTTCCAGAACACAGATTCCAAAGGGGGTGTGCCAGCAGACGAGGCAGCGCCAGCAGCCAGCGAGAAGACCGTTAAGACCTCGTATCTTGTTCACAGGCACTTAAGCTCTTGTTCTGTAGGATTGGACGCTGGGGAGCCATTGAGGCATTTTGTGGAGAGGAGCCTTGGGATCTGATTTTCATTTTATAAATATCTCTGAGGCAGGAATCTAGGAAAGAGCGGATGAGGCGCTGACGGTGGGGATGCAGAAAGTGGGATAAATGAGAGATGTAGCAAGAACAATCAGTAGGGTATGCTGACGCGTTGGATACGGGGGAACAGAGGGAGGAATCCGGGATGGCTTGAACATTTGGCCAGAGTTTAGACCACAGCTAAAATTGCCAATGAAGCATTTATAGCAGTGCCAGCTCGGTATGATGTTGGAATCTTCTAGTAGCATTCATAAGCCCATGTGTAGATAAAGAGGAGGAAGGTGGTGATTATTTCAGTTTTGAAGTTTTGTGGGAAGAAAACACTGGTAAACAATGGAGAAATGAATATGCATAACAGGTAAAATTTAGGCAAAAATTTAGGTAGAAAACTTTCTTGTGTTTTGAGGGCTGGAAGTATACCAGCATTAGATTGTTGTTTTAAACTTGGAAGTAATGGAAATAGTAACTGAGAAGTTTCAATAACTCCAGGGAAGTTTTATGGACTCAGAGAACTGCAGCTCATAAATGGAGTTCTTCATTCCTCCGTCCTGGGAGAGCGAGCACTTCTGTCCCCAGTACTCACATCATCCTCATACTTGGAACAGAACTTACCTTTCTCTTGGACTTTCTTTTGTTTAGAACCACCTCCCCTCCCATCCTGTAAAATCGTTGGACAGGGCCATTGTCACTGTCTTGATTAGGAAGTCCGGTAATGTGAGTAATGTGTACGGGGCCTGGCAGCCCTCACTGCAGGTTTATGGATGAGCCCCCCTCCTGTTATAGAGGCAGAAACTGGGGCACAGCTGGTGTTCTGTTTTCTGTTTTTTACTTTTTCTCGAATGCTATGAGAGTTCGTAAAATCGAAGAGTTAACTTGTAACAAGTGTCACAAGGAACAAGTATACTAGTTCCTTCCAGGATGGCAGCTACTTTTAAAGAAGAAAATTGGTTTACGGACTATTGCTTATTTGTGCTTACGGGAGCCCTGTGTAGAGAAGGACTGCCCAGGACAGAGAGCCGCGGTGCATAGGCACGGGAGGGAAGTCATGGGCATTGTTTTGTCCGCCCACGTTAAAATGGTTTGTTTTTTCAACAGAAAGCAGCAGGGGCCTTGACACAAACAACCCCTTTAAGCCTTCACCTCGGCCCCGGGGCATGTTGAAGAAACACAGCCCTGGGGACGTGAAAGAGGGGCTAGGAGAAGATAAGACAACTGTCCTCCATGAACAATTGGAGGCACACTCTGCACCGCCCCCCCTTCCAAAGCTAAGTGACAGTCAACTAGAAGCTGAGAAAAAATCATTCTCCGGAACCCTCGATCCAGAGGTTAGCACTACTGTTGAACCGCTGAATTGTGCTCTTCAACTGAGGTCTTTGCGCCTGATTATGGAAAAAAGAGTATTTGTGTACATGTGTGTGCGCGCGTGTGCGTATGTTTATGTGTGTGTTATACATGTTTTCTTCAGCAATTGATAGGGAAATAATCTAAAGAGGTTTTTTTTTTTTTAAGATTTTATTTATTTATTTGACAGAGAGAGAGAGCACAAACAGGGGGAGAGGCAGAGGGAGAAGCAGGCTTCCCACTGAGCAGGGAGCCCGATG